TCGGAGGGCAACAGTGCATCCAGTTTGGGAACGCGGGAAAGCAACCACAGCTCCAGTCTGAACCACCCAGTCACATATCAACCTGTACAATGTAGAATAAGGAATACGCAACTTAAAGCCAATTTCTATAAAGTCCTGAGGGAAACAATAAAACTGATGATAAAAGGAGAAACCACAATTCTGACCCAGAAAAACTACAAACAAATCCAACCATAGGCTCATAACAACATTAAAGGTAGCGGCACACTCCAATTCTAACCCAGTTGTGGACACTGCACTGGAAGAAGATGCTTTCATGAGAGAGCCATCTCTTAGCTATGAGTGCTGTTAACTGCCGCCTACAGCAATCTGAGCAGCTGTGGGGGCAGAACACACACACACACACACACACACACGCAAACACACACACACACACACACACACGCAAACACACACACACACACACACGATCTACTACCACTGGTAAAAGCAGGGTCCTTGTCCTGAGTAGAAATCCCAAAGAAAAGCAGCTATTTCTCTTCCTTATCTACTGCAAAGAACACCTTTCCAAGAGATACACAGCATGCCTTAGAGGTAGACCTTAAAGACAGCCATGTCATAAGTCCCACAAGTTGATAACAAACAGTCCAATCCAGGGAAGCCAGAGCCAAGGAGAACCCCCTGATGCTGTGAGTCGGGCCTGTTCTCAGATCCATCACAAAAAGCAAAGGTCAGCAGAAGCAGAGTGTGCAACTCTGGCCCTCATGAGAGCTGGCCAAGAGCACAGGCCTTTCTCCCTCTGTTACACTCGGTTGGGAGGACTAAGAGGAAGAGCCTCTAATCTGGGCAAACAGGAACAGGCCCCGTAAAGAAAGAAACGCTTAGACGTTGTAAATGATATCTGAGCTATCCCTCAAATAATATGGGCACAGAGTCGCTGTAAACACAAAACAAGATCGGCCATGAGTGGTGATCACTAAGGGTACGCACGGACTCATGGAGTTTAATTTCTCTATTCTCGCCACTATTTTGTTTGAAATGCTTCATAATAAAAATAGTATATATTTATTGTAGAAATTTAGATAAATTTAAAAATTTTTGAATGAACAAGTAAAAAAAAAAAGACAACATATAATTCTGTAACCTAAAAACACTGCTCTCATTTTGGTCTATTTCCAGAATTTTTTTCTTTCCCATGTGTATGCACTCCGGCCGTGCATGTTCCTGGGACTGGACTCACGTTTGGCAACAGGTCCTCTACCCATTAGGCAGTATCACCAGTCCATTTTTCTTTTATTTGCCAAATAGGGTCATTTGAGCCACAGTGGTTTTTCAGCCTGCCTAAAACCACTCTTAATTAGTCCACTCTTAATTTCTCTTAGGCATTGTTCAATGTGCTAAAGATTTAGTTTATTGGATTGATTTTTTTTTTTTAGACAAAGTCTTTTGACATAGCCCTGGCTGGTCTGGAACTCACTTTTAGGCTCCTTGACCTCACAGAGATCTGCTTGTATCTGTCTCCTCAGTGCTGGAATTGAAGGTATGCACAACCCTGCCTGGCCCTCAAGTTGCTGAAGATTTTTGAAGGTATGATTTTGTTGCCTAGTCATTCACCCAAAGCTAATTTATGATCTTTGCCACAATAAGAAAGTCTGGGGCTTGAGAGATGACACAGAGGTTAAGAGCACTGGCTTATCTTCCAGAGCTCCGAGTTCAATTCCCAGCAACCACATGATGGCTCACAATCATCTATAATAAGATCTAATGCCCTCTTCCAGCGTGGAGGTATACATGCAGACAGAACACTGTATACATAATAAAGGAATAATTTTTTTTTAAAAAAAGTCTGTAATAAACTAGGGGAAATGACATTTATTAAAAATTAGGAAATTTCAAATGATAAAGAAATGTCCTCATACATGTCTAAATGTAACTGCATAGCACAGAAGTGGGGGAAGGTAAGGAGAAACCGGTGGCTTGCAGACTGCCTAATTCTAAATAATTATTAACTTTCCCTGTGGCAAAGGCCATGGTGAAATGTATATCAGTTCTAAGGCTGATACGGCTCACACCATGCCTCCCTGTCAATGACAACTCACCAGGTTCAAGCAATGAGTTCAGCAAGTTTGCTAGGAACCTCTGAACTTCAAAGGGTGGACTATTCTACCCATTCGGGATGGTACAAAGGTGGCTCTGGCTTCACTCCGGACCAGATACCAGCGGTCCCAGCATTCACTGTGCTCTTCATCCGGTAGAATGCCCAGTGCTGTGCATGGCCTGTAACTGATTCCTCCCACCCACACAGCCTTGATCATGACCTCCCCCCAAATGAAAATCCACCAAATTCTCTGGGTAAGGAGTTGAAGGCAATCTTACATTTTTTTTTTCCTGCACTATTTGTCCAGATGCTACAAAATGTACAACCCACAAACTATTTCATGACACATGGGCGATTCAGAGATGAGCATATTATAGCTGTATTCCACCTGGTGTCAGGCTGCTGAAACACACACACACACACACACACACACACACACACACACACACACACCAGGAACCTCTGAATTACAGACCATGTGTTACTGGACAGCAGCCAACAGGATGGAAAGCCACTGTGACTTCCCACTCTGAAGGAACCCTCAGGCCTCCTCAATGACTCAGCCGAGAGATCAGGAACCCATTGCTTTCTATGCCTTCTCCGTGCCCTTAGCCATCTCTGTCTACTGTTGGGGGTTCTTCAGAATCTAAACTGGGCTTTCTTCTAATTCATGCCAAAGGGTGATTACAGAGGAAGGTGAGTATAAGACAAACCCAGCAGACACACTCGGAAACCGGAGAGTGCCGATCACCGAGGAAGCAAACAGCAGTTACCGTGGGTGTGGCCTTGAAGTTAGGATTTAAGCTCTTCCGGTGTAGTGAGTTTTCTGGTTTGTTTGGTTTTTTTAAACATAGAAATGTTACATGAATATGTTTTTGTTTTAATCCCAGGTGGGGGATGTGGGGCTGCTTCAGACTGTCCACAGCAGCCGACTATGAGTTGCCTTGTGCTCTAGCAAGTGCGTGACTTTGCCAGCTGAAGATAATTTACGTTTGGAATTCTGGGGACTCTGCAGAGGGTATAAATGCTAGTAGAGCCCCGGAGAGCCTGCTATGGCTGTTGTTCCTCATGTTGTTGGCCCTGCTGCTCCTGCTGCTGTTGCAAGGTTGCTGGTTTCTGGCTGGAGCTACCCTGAGGAGGAAGATCAAACTTGCCCACAGGAACTCGATGTCCCTAATCAGCAGGAAGTAGTCTAACAATATTGATGCCCCTCTTTCCCCTCTAACCATTCTTCTCTCCTACCTAGTGTTGGGGTGGGGTTGGGATGTTGGAAGGGATAGGAGTGGTGTAGGGAGGTAGGAAAAAGAACCCAATAATGTGGCCAATGTAGAGGGAATTGGGACTTTCGAACCAACCAGCAGTGTAAGTAATGACATAGAGGCTTTTTAATATTTTAAAGTTTAAGCCTTTTGGCTAGAGCAGTCTCTCAGCCACCTGTCTAGCTTGACCCCACTACTCCTGGTAGTAAGTACATCCCACCACCTCGCTCTACCTCTCTGACCCCGTTCACATCCGTCCATTTTCCTGTGGTCACTGGCAAATCTCCCACCTTCTTCTCAGAGTCCCTCTCTCTTTCCCAAAAGTTCCGCCCTGTACTTCCTGCCATCCTTTGGCCATCAGTTCTCTATTACTATTAATTGACAAGTAAGGAAGGGTGAATATATACAAAATATAAGCCAGGCCTAGTGACACAGGCCTTCAATCCCAGCTCTCAATCCCAGGCAGAGGCAGGCAAATCTCTGAGTCTGAGGCCAACCTGAGCAAGTTCCAGGACAGCCAGAGCTGTTATACAGAGAAACCCTGTCTCGAAAATCAAAACAAAACAAAACAAAACAAAAAAACCAACAGCAACATTTACAAAACATAAGAGTGACAGTGGACCACAGAAATAACAATACCAAGACCTGGCTAGTACTTAGCTCTCCGCAGTTTTGGTAGTCAACAACTGAATACAGAGAGACACACCTCCACACACCATGCCCCAGCACTCCCCTGACCTCCCAAACATTTAAGGGTTCCTCCCACTCCACTAATGAACTCCCATGGGTTTTCAAAACATCATCACCAGGAGGCTGGAGAGGCGGCTCAATGCTTAGAGCACCGTCTGCTCTTCCAAAGGACCCAGGTTCAATTCCCAGCAATTCCCAGCCAATCACATGGAAGTTTACCACCATCTGTAACAATTCCAGAGGCCCTCTTCTTCCAGCCCCCATGGATGCTGGGTACGTGTGCACACTAACATACACGCAGGCAAAATCTCACACATGTAACGTTTTTAAAAAGCAAATAAGTCTTTTAAAAAAGAATGCACTGCCAGTGTGGACGCTCTATACTTCGCTTACTGAAAACTGCTAAGCACAGAGACCAGGAAGATGAACCAAACACACTTCAGGAATGAGCTCAGAATAATTAATCTTTTGTTGCTGCCATTAGGTTTTTTTTTTTTTTTTTTTTTTTTTTTTTTACAGAAGAAATTTATTTTAACAATAAGTTGTTAGCAGTATTCCACATATATATATTTCTCCCAGATGGGAACCTCTCAAAGTCTAAGCCCTCCCTCTGGAGTCACACATCACAGAGAAATGAGAAAAACAAGAACATACTCATGCAACCAAAGACTTCGCTTGATTCTATTTTTCAGCTGGATTCCCCAGTACAGCAATCTTCAAGGTTTAAACAACTGGGCCAAAAAATAAAAAATAAAAAAAAGGCAATGCATAAACACGGAACAGCTGTCTTTTTGGCAAAGACACTGTCCCACTGCACAGAGCCACACCCGACACCGATGAGCTCAAGTCATTCCAAGTCCAGCTGACTTGATTGCTAGAGATTTCCCCAAGGTGCAGCTGAGCTCAGCTTCTGATGTAAGAGTAGAGCCGCAGGCTCAAAACCTGCCTCATGAAGGCCGAGACCGGAATGTTACCTTGCAGACGGCTGCCTGGAGGACGGCATCAAAGCCCCCCTCGGGGGCATCTCGGTTCCGGGACACCCTCTGCTTCCTCACTTCCTCGTTGAAACTGTCGACTCTGTCGGTGAGAGGCAGCAGATGGCGGAACCCGAAGGACGGGACGCAGTTCGGGAATAACTTGTAACTAGAGAGAGAGAAGAGAAGAGTTGCTTTTCTTACTGTCGTCTGTAAGCCTTTTTAATTTTTAATTATTTTTTCATTATTTTAATAAGTGCATAAGTTTACACACATACACACAAACGCAAGTCCAAGTGCAAGTGAGAGAACAACTTGCAAAGAGATCGGTTGTCTTCTACCATGTGGGTCCCGGGAATGAAACCCAGGTCATCAGGTTTAGTGGCAGTCGCCTCTACCCACTGAACCCTCTGGATGGTCCCGTCTCTAAATATTCATCAAGTGTTCTGTTCTTCACTACGTACCTAGAAAAATAGCAACTAACATTTGCACTTCTTAAAATGAGCACGATGGAGAGAACAGAGACAAACAGCAGCTCTAAACAGGCAGCCCTCACGGTGGGCGCACAGCCAGACCACGGAAGTGTGCAGAGGTCACAGCAGACTCTGCGGTTGGGCCTGGGAAGATGAGTGGGACGAGCGGCACACTCAATGACAATGGCCAGTTAGGGCAAGAGAGGCAGGGCTCTTCGGGGAAGCAGCTTTTCCACATCAACTGTGATGCTGCCAGGCTATGCTGGCACAAGAGGAGATGTGGAACGGAGCAGGAACTGAGGACATTCTTCTGTTCCACCATTCATTGGTGACATTGCAATGATGAAGTATCCGCTCGCCAGAGACACCTAACCGTCTTCAAATGGGAAAAGGACGTGCATGTCAGAGCACTGCCAGGCTAATTATTCAGGGCAGGCCGTAAGTGCCTCCTTTCCTAGCGTAGTTCAATGACAGGATCAAACCTGGGCAATGAAACAGGAAGGGAGGCCTTCATTGGGTTCCTGGGATAGAGGAAGTGAAGGCAGAGTGCAGAGGAGAGGAGGCAGAGGAAGGCCACTGGGCTGGACACAGTGTAAAGGGGACAGACTGAGAGGACAGGGGGCCAGTCTGGCCCAGGCCTGCAGGGTCTGTGACCATGTAAAGAAGCCTCTCTTCAGAAAAACAAGTACTGACAGACAGGCCTGGGAGGAAGGCTTTAGAATCCCATTCAGGCTGTGCCTGGGAAGGGAAACAGGCTTAGCAACTGCTAGGTCCTGCCATTCCTGCTGCCAAGGGCAGCCCCGGCAGGACAGGTCCAGGCAGGCTCTTCTCTTCAGAAAGGCAGCTCACAATGGTGCACAGATCACCACACACACACCACACTTCACTCCTCCAGAGTGGCAGCTCTTTCTTTGCAATTAGTCTTTCCCCTGCCTGCTTCACCCCCCCACCTTCCCCCCACGCAGTCTTCACAAATGCCTTTTTGTTTTCATTTTGGTTTTTCAGGGTTTCTTTGTGTAGCCCTGGCTGTCCTGGAACTCACTCTGTAGACCAGGCTGGCCCTTGAACTCATGATATCCACCTGCCCCTGCCTCCCAAAGCGCTGGGATTAAAGGCGTGCTCCACCACCATTCACAAACACCTTATGCTCTGACGGGCGAGCTGATCTTAAATGCCCGCCTCAGGCCACCCTGAGATTTTGTGTAGGCCCTTCATTGTGTATAGAAACAAGCTCGGACACTGACATTCCTGTTGGAAAAAGGAGCTGAGAGACTGCATCCACACCGACCTGACAGACAAACAGACAAGCCCAGGAAGGAGGGAAACAGCCACAACTACATTCCATTCTCCCGCCAAGCTCCCATTTCCCTTCTGTTGTTCTGGGCCATGACTGAGAGTGTTGGGTGTGTGTTTGTTGTGACGGAGGAGAAACTGAATAGCTGCGGTGAAATGAGAAACCAGGAGGGCTGAGAGGAGCACAGAGATGGCTCATCCTTGGCATTCACACCCCACTTCACTCCCGCAAACAGCATGAGCAGTCCCCGCCCTCGTGGCCGTGTAATGGAGAACCAGAAAGTGTGTCTGCTGGAAAGAAGCCTGAGCTACACAGAATGAATGTGCAGCAGCCCAGTCAGGGACACCTCCCATTGATGCCACACAGTCTCCACTGTCACTGAAGCAGCACCTGTGACAGGATTCCTTGGAGTTGCTCCAGAATGGCCTGGCGATCTGTTTGCCAGGAGAGTAACATGCCCACACACACACACACACACACACACACACACACACACACAGTCCGTGCTTTGGAATCCCACCCAGTTGAGGGACGTTTAAAAAGAGTTGCTCAATTTAAGATTATTAACTAGGATAATGAGAATGTAAGAAGGAAGAAGGAAAGCTGGATGGTGGTGGTGTAGGCCTTTGATTCCAGTACTTGGGAGGCAGAGGCAAGCAGATCTCTGTGAGTTCAAGGCCAGCCTGGTCTACAGAGTGAGTTCCAGGACAGCCAGAGCTATACAGAGAAACCCTGACTCAAAAACAAAAACAAAAATAAAAATAAAAATAAAAATAAAAAATAAGGAAGAGAGAGAGAACCTCACATAAAAAAATCACTTCAGGGCTAAAGACAGGCTCCATAGCCAAGAGCTTGCTACTCCTCAGAGGAGAGAACTTCAATTCCAGCACCCAGCTGGCAGCTCAGTATTGCCTGCTACTCCAGCTCCAAGGGATCCAAAGCTCTTTTCTGGCCTCCCTGGGCACTAACACACACACATACACATAAAACACACACACACACACACACACACACACACACACACAGTGACGCAATATTATGAAAATACCTCTTATACTCGAAGAGACTGGAACTTTTGCTGGACCTCACCACTCAGTTAATAATACACCTGCCATCCTACTGTGTGTTCGGCCTGTTTGGTTTAACGTGCCTTTAAGAGAACAATGTAACACCCAACCTTGCCTGCCTTGGATTTCCCGTGGAATCAACTTTTACGACCTAAGCTGATGTACAGCTGCAATCTTGAGCTATGTCCTCTTCCACACCCCTGACCCAGACAATGCCTGTGAATCATTCCCTGAAAAGAGCAAAAATAGAGGCTGAAAGCAATCTTATAAAAAGAATATCCATCATAAATGTTGTACATAACATTTGGGTATTACTTCATAAACAATGATGTTTGTAATACTGTTTTGTTATCTCAGTTGGAGTCAGTGACTTAACCCCTTCCAAAATTCTATTATAATTTTCAGTGAAATATCTCTCCTTCGGACCAAGGAAACTGGATCCGTCCGGAAGTATGAGACCTGGGAAATGGTGAAGAAAACTGTAATCAGCCAGCACGCCAAGTAATTCAGAAGCTCCTTCGATGGCAAGACCAAGATGAAGAGAAGAGCCACTGGCAAATGGCCCTGTGTTTTCCCAAGAAAACAGTGTCTGGCAGGGCCTCGACCTACAACACCACAAAGCTCCTTATTAAGAACAGACAGACAGACACACACACACACAGAGACAGGCACAGACTTGGGGAGAGATTAACAAGAGAGCCTTCAGGCAGGTGTAGATTCAGGCTCACAAGACAGAGGACAATGACACAGAGAGGGTGAAGTAGAGAATTCCAATCTGGGCTTGCTCTTGGTTAAATGACACCAAGAAGTGCTTATCCCTTTCCTTAATGGGACACCAATACATTATTGGTGACTTGGCATTTATTATTGAGTACAAAACACACACAAGCACAATATATATACACAGATATAAAAAATATATGTATGTGTTATATGCTCTGTATATGCAGGTGCTGTGGAACTAGAAAAGGGAATCAGATTTCCTGGAAATAAGAGTTACAGGCAATAAGCTGCCTAGTGTGGGTGCTAGGAACCAGACCAAAGTCCTCTGTAGAAAAAAAAAAAAGTCACTCTAGTCCCCAGTGATAAGAATTCACAACTTTTATGATAAAGAAACTCCCAGCTGCCAGCCTGTGGCACATGCCCTTAATCCCAGCACTCAGGAGGCAGGGGAAGGCAGATCTCTGTGGTATGAGGCCAGCCTAGTCTACATAGCAAGTTCCAGGCCAGCCAAGGCTACACAGAGAAATCCCCAGCTGAGAAATTCACAGGCAAACCAGTCCCCACTGTCAACATGGAAGGTTCCTGACAACAGCAAAGATGAAAACTGTGCCATATGCCAGGATACACAGGGCCTATGGTCCTTGATGGAAAACAGCCTCCAATGAAGATGAGCTAATGAAAACATTTCACACCACGGAGAGGCCAACAGCCCCAAGGAATGTCAGCAAACCTCACACTCAAGAACGGAATGCTCCGAAATCCCTCTCCTAAGACAAGGACTTTTGAAACAGTCAAAAAGAGAAAGGAATGACAGCCGCAAGCCAGACAGGAAATTACTAAAAAAATTAAAAACAAACAATGAAAACTAGACGTTGAAAAAAAAAAGTATCTAAAACACAAGGATCTGAGAAAAGGACCAAGTAAGAATTATAGGGGGAAAAAAAAACAATCACTGAAGTCCAAATTGAAGTTTCAGTCTATAGATGAAATGGCAGAATAAAACTGTAACCTGGAAGGATTCCTAGTATGGACCTTGAGGGGAGGTGGGGGTGGGGGTGGCAGAGGCTACGTGAGGAAAAGGGAGAAACATCAAGTGTAGACTTATGAGCAGATGAGCACACAGACAGCAGGGGAGAACAATCAATCACAGCGATCTGTCAGAACCTTCCGACTCAGATGACGCAGCCAACCAAGCTCTGAACCGTTAGCATGTATGTTAAAACGCCACACACTCCACAGATCTGGATATGAAGACATATTTATTTGGGGGAAGAAAAGGGGAGAGGAGAAAGAGGAACATGGTAGCTCCCCCCCCCCCCAAAAAAAAGGCAGAGAGGAGGGAAAGGGAAAGAAATGGGAGCAGAGAAGGGGGGTAGAAGGGGAAGGCAGCCGGGTTATATCTGAAACACCTGGCCCAGGTGATGACATAGGCCATTGTCAAGACCCTTAAAGGCCCCTGAGGGCAGGCCAGTTGAATTGCCTGCACAGCATAGCACTGAACAATGTGAACAACTCCAGCCCAGATGGAGTCAAAAGCATGTGACAGAGCACAGAGGAGACCAGAATTACATAATCAGGGCCTGTCACTTCAGCCACAAGAATGGCAGAAGGAAGCAGAATGACACCTTTAATGTGGCAGAGGAACACTGTGGCTTCCTGGGGAAACACACCCAAAGGGTAAAAATCTATTAATACCAATGGAGATGTTTTCACATGAATGTGTCTTGATGACTGCTTCAAAGAAAAAGTCCCACAACTAGCAATAGAAAATTGGGTATCATCGAGCATTGGAATTTCTTAGAGTTTCTCCTGTGACTCATAATAACTCTTAAACTGATCTTTAATCTGATGCTTGCATTGCTTTTTTCTCCCAGGGCAGGCCTACCAATCCTTCAGATTTAGTGTTTCTGGTGCATTCTATCCTGAGTGGAGAAAAACTAGGAAATCTAGTCATTTGTAACTCATTGTTTTTTAGATGAGAGTAACTAACTTAAGGAGCCTCTTTTTTGTTGGTTTTGTTTGTTTGTTTGTTTGTTTTAGAGACAGGGTTTTTTCTGTGTAGCCCTGGCTGTCCTGAACTCACTTTGTAGATCAAGCTGGCCTCATATTCACAGGGATGGTCTGCCTCTACCTCCCTGAGTGCTGGGATTAAAGGTGTGCACCGCTGCGCCAGGGTTCATGGGGCCTTTTACACAGAAAAGCAAACACTTGCAGTTGTCCCAGACCTGGTGTGGGACAGCTAGACTACTCTCTCTGGCTTGTGCTGTGCCCTCCCAAGTTGCAAAGGGCACTCTCCAGGGAGACTGGGACCCCAGGATGAGAAGCTCAGCCAGCACCCCCGCCCCCCCCCCCCCCCCCCCGCAAAGTTACAGTGTCTCTCCTAGTACTTCCTGGCTTACAAAAGAGAAATTTGCATGACTTAGATTCGATGTTTCCTTCCTAACACCCTTTCTTCACTGATTTCCTGTCTTAGGAACAGCTTTTCAGAGCGCTATGCACTCAACTGTCAAGATCGGCTCTGTCTGCCACTGTTTCTGCCTGGAGGGCCTCGGAGTAGGAGCTCCGAATAGCTGTTCGAAATGGCTTTGACTATTTGGATGCTAAGCACCCAAATGGTCCTTGATCCTCTGCCAGCTCCCAGTCCAGCATCTCTGTGGGTGCAGACACACCCTGTCTGACTAGAGTCGGAGCCCAATCAGGGCAGGAACAGAAAGGAGTGTATGGAATCACTGTTCCGATGAATCCAAAAAAATGTTTTGATTAAGATGCTGTTGCTCCCAGTAAGAAGTAAAACTGCAACAATAAAACATGTGACCTAGGCACAGCTGAAAGAAGCCTTGGAGATCACTAATCATAATGTACATTATGTAGCTTATGGCTACCCATGGCCTAGGAGAAGCTACCCCCCCCCCCCCCCCCCGGTAAATGATGCCAACAGCTCTTTATGCTTAAGCATCTTTGAATAGAACCGTATTTAAAACTGTTTATCTTACTAGGGTTTTTCCTTCTTCTTTTTCTTGTTTTGTGTTTGTTTTTTGACACAGAGTTTCTCTATGTAGCCCTGGCTGTCCCAGAACTCACTCTACATACTCAGAGATACACCTGCCTCTGCTGGGATTAAAGGCATGCGCCACCACTGCCCAGGTTATCTTACTGTTTTTCAATCTCTGTGTTGGTTTCCGACCCCTGAGGAGGATCTAGGTCAGCAACAAGCATAAAACTAACAGAACCAAGGAGACTCAGAACACAGGCTGCTGGAACATCATCTCACCTAACACCCAACCTAGCTTGGAGCTGAGAGCAATTTGGGCTGCAAAAAGACTTAAAGAAAAGTAGGCCCAGGGTCTTTAAAATAACTTTCCCCTTCATGGCAGCCAGAGACTAAGAATCAAAACTGATATCTCAATACCAAGAAGCCCGGATCCCTGACAGAGAGGCGCCAAGCACTGCTCAGCTGTCCTCAGACTTCGAACAAATGAGGACAAGCTCTGTAGATGTTTAGCCATGGAGGTTTGGGGATTTCTCACTGCAGACAGGGGAAAGTCTGGTGGGCTCATGGGAGCATGGGCGTGCACACCGTCACATAGCCTCAGATAAAGTATCTCGGATGAGGAAAAAATGTCATTGTGCTAGTGAGAATACTGACTCTGGTTAGTCTATCCCTTAGTGATCTGTATAAAGGTATTTATTCTCTGTGGGCCTCACTTTCCTCATCTGTAAACATGGCTTAGAAGCCTTAGACACCTGAGGAGGCCAGCACGGGATTGAATGAGATAATCTCAGTAAAGTGTCCATTTGTTAACAGTGTGAATGGTGTCTGACACTTAGCGGGGAGAACTGAAAGCTTAGTTCTTTCCCATCTGGTGACCATGTTGGGCCTTATACTCCACAGACTCGCTGAGGCCAAATGTGGAAATGAGTCAAGAAAAGGCTGGAAGTTTTCAGTCACCATTGTCCTTCGCAACCTTGACATCTCACATATCACTGGAGACACTGGAAAAGAGAGAAGCCAACCCCATCGCCATTGGGTCAACTTCGGTTCAACCTGCTTACTAGTCAGTCCTGATGCTTCTTTTCCTCGTTACACACCCTCACACAGACATATATGCAAGCAAATCGCCAATGCACATGAAATAAAAATTAATTAATTAAAAAAAAAGTTTGGAAGCAGACAGTCCCATTTAAGGTAGAGCCCTCTAGGCAGGGTGAGAGTGAGCTTGAAGCCATGTGGAAGGGGTCTATGTCCCTGAGAAGAGGTGTCCTCAGATCAGGAGACCCCCCACTAGACTTACAGATCAGCAGGAAATAAGCCTGCAGTAAGTTTGGCCAGTATAAACTTCTGGATTTGTTTTGTATAAGAAATTTCAAACTCCTGTTTACTTGAAACCATTTCTAACTCATGCACATGAATTATATTTAAAAAGAAACAACAAACAAACAAAACCTCCTTCGTTTAAAACAGAAAGGTAGGCAAGAGAGCAAACACCTATAACCTCAGCACTTGGGAGGCAGAGGCGGTTGGATCTGTGGGTTTGAGGCCAGCCTGGTCTACAGAGCGAGTCCAGGATAGCCAGGGCTGCACAGGAAAACCCTGTCTACCAAGCAAAACAAACAAATAAGCGAATTAAAACTAAATAAACAAAACAAAAAAAAAAACTAAACAGCGTTTTCATTTAGTTATATGGAAGTAAATTATACCTGTTAGCATAGACAGGGAAAATTTCTGAATGCAATTATCCTTTTGAAGTATGTATTTATTTGCGGTTACGCACACCCATATGTGTGCACAGGCGTGTAAACCTCAGAGATGAGTATCAGGCATCTTCTTGAATCATTCTCCCCTTGAGACAGTCTCCTACTAAACCTGGACCTCATGAATTCTGTGAGGCTCATGGCCGGAAAACCCCAAGGATCCCCCATGTCTGCTTTAGCAGACTAAAGCAGACTAAAGGGCCTAATCCTTACATACTCAGCTACTCACAACTGTGCAGCAACTGTATGACCAGCTGAGCCATCTCCCCAACTCCTAAACTCATTTATTAGAGCATACCAGTTACTGCAGACAGAGAGAATGTCTTTGCACTTTCCTGGTCTTTCCCTGACCTTATTAATCATTAACTATCTAAGCCTAACGTCCCCCCTAAACTAGCCTTTTCTAGCGTTCCCCACTACTTCGTCCCAGCACTCCGGAGAATGTTATCTTGCCACCTACCCAATACACGGGTTGGTCTGGTATCTCGGTGCCGTGTAGGAAAAAGGAGAGATGTCCTTGTCCACAAAAGACCCGAAACCCAGCCGGAAGTTACTGGTGAGCTTCCTCATCTCCTCAGCGAGCTTGGTACCCAGGCTCCGGATGTTGTCCAAGTCATCCTTCATGGAGAGGGAGAGGTCCATCAGGTAGTACAGGTCCACGGGATAGTCCTCCACCTGACGCACCTGCAGCTGGAAGGTGGTTTGGTCACCTGCGCCAGGAGAGGTCACCCTGGTTAGAGGCTTGCTGGGGTAAAAGGGTAAGTTCTCACTTCAAAGATCTTTTCCCCACAGCAGAGGGGGTTACGCTGTGAAGCGCTTGTCTTGGCCCGGGGCCTGTCCGACCGCACGAATAAATGAAGAAAACTGCCCTTCTTGAGTGACCGTGCACCACTAAAAAGACCTTCCTCGGAAGTGCAGCGTCTGAAGAGCGGATGGGGCCGAGAGCGAAGCCCGGCTGACACCTGTGTCAGTGTGTCTGAGGAAGTGTGGTAGAGTTCTGTCTCTCAGCAAAAGAGACCCGTGGGGAACTGTGATCACGAGCCACACTTGCCCATGCAACCTGGGTTGAAGGCAGCCCACCACCACACGGTAGGCCTGGTCCAGACAGGCTGTGCAACAGACAGCCAAAGCATTAACAAGAGGGGGTGGCCATGAGTGAGAACTAGGGATGAGGGTGGGGGTGTAAAAGTCAGGGAGGGCACGTGACAAAGCAGCTAATGAAGGCAGTAACTTGGGGCTGAGGAAATAAGTGTGGCCTAGCACGTTTGTAACATTGCCACTGTGGGAGGCAGAGACAGGAGGATCCCTGAAGCTTGCTGGGCTCTAGCCTAGCTCCAGATTTCATAATAGGACTCTTGTTTCATTTGCGCACAAAGACCACACCCACGCACACACTACAGGCCTGAGAATATAAAGGAAACGTAGGAAGAAGAGGTCCAATGGAAGGGGGTAAAAGAAGGCAACTGGCGGGGAAGAGATGTGTAAAAATACCAAAATTCATTAAATACATTTATAAAAGTGTTAAGAAAATATACACACACTATGTATATATAGGACACATGGTATTTTTAACAATTAAAAAAAAACAAGAGCAAAAGAGAAAAGACACTACCAGGTTGTGTACCAAATATAAGAGAGAAAGTCATTTGGGTTTTATAGTAAGACAGCCAACAGGTATGGAAAGGGGGAATTGATTAAAGGGAGGGAGCAAGGAGACCAAATACCTCACCCCATCCCTAACCCCAGGGTTTGGACAGGGGCGCAAGTCGGGAAACTAACTGAGGGATAAAACATCCCCAAATCATGCCATCATTTCAAAACACAAACCACTTAGGACTGACTTCAAAGTTCAGCTCTCACCAGGTAACTGTCAAGCTCACTGGCCTGTCAGGGCACTAGATGTCCTGTCTGGCCTGGGGCAGCCCAGCTCTAGAGCATTTGAAATCTGGGTAAATTTTTTTCGTGTGTATTTAGAGATTCAAGAAGCCAAGTGCCTGTGCCACCAAGGGTCCACACTTGGCTGGCAAGGACCAGCTAGCTATTCCTCCACACGATAAGACACAGAACCCAATCCTCCATGCTCCCTCTCCTGCTCCCACTGGAGGGAAGACATACTCCAAAACCTGGACCAAGGGTGCAACCTGGACCTAGGTTTACCTAAGTATGAGATGAAAACAGTGAGGCTCAGAGCCTCTGTTGAGGCTGACATGCACTCCCTTGGGGACAGCAAGGCTCTAGAATGTAAGAGCTTGCACAAACGAAGCACTGTGATTGCAACTCCTATCTGCAGTCGAGTGGCAAGGCTGCGTCTCCTGACTTGGTTTGTTGTTGCTGTTGTTTTGGTAAGCACTGTTCCAGCTGCCTCAAGACTGATGTGGTTTGGGTTGCCTGTTGGCGTGAGCCTATTTTTAAAAACCATCACAGTCTGACTCAGACAGAAGACTATTCGAGATTTCCTCCAGCGGGAATTCCGAACTGCTCCAGTGTGTCTGTGGCTCCCACCCGCCAGCCCCATCAGGTCTTCACAGGAGACTCCTTGCATGAATGCCTATCATGGTGGAGGAGAGGTGGGGAGTTAGGAACGAACTTGGAAAAGGTAGGTGTGTGCACCTGTGTGCACCCCGAGTTGGCCTTTACACAAGAAGGCAGACCGCAGCTGGGCCAAGCCTCTTCTGTCCAGATCCACGCCTTCTTCACAGGGTCTGGTGTGTTTTCTGACACCTGCCCATCCTCCTCCTCCGTCTTCTCCTGTGCAGAATGTGCTACTACCTTCCTGAGGCCTGCAGTTAACTAACAGATGGAGAAGCGGCTTGGCTTCAGGGAAGCCGAGAGGCAGCGTTGGACTGAGCAGTACTAGGCTGGGAGGCGGGAGAGCCAGCTTTGAACCCAGGCCTGGTGACCAAGGGCTCAGCAGGACCCCCAGTTCCTTTCAATCTGCAGCTTAGTTTCAGCTTCACTGAGGGAAGAAGACATTAATCATAGTGGTGATTAGAACCAATTATATACATAAATACCGATGCTCTCACACAAGGAACTCTTTGGCTCCAAGGCTTCCAAAAGTTAAAAGTTAAAAATCAATTTTAAATTAAAGCAAGTCGTGTGGGGATTGAAAAAAAAAAAAAGGGAGAAAAAAATGTTTCCAGGAACTACCACTTAACTGGGCTACAGCATCAGGCATGGAAATTTAACTCCAAAGTTTCCAGAAACGAAGGCAAAGGAGGAAGTGAGGTATGACATACAGCTGCCTCTGCCTGGCACTGGGGAGTGGGCAATGTCCTGGCATTGAATCCTAGGGGGAAAATGGCTCATGGAGAGAGCGGATGCCCACCTCCACTTCTTCCACAGGACACTGCAAATATTAAATGGAGCGTTTCTCCCAGTTCTTCGGACAGGGAGGGCGTGACGGGGCGTGTCAGACCAACCACCCGTTACGTGGGAGACTTTAGGTGTCACGCCCTCCCGAATGTGCTCTGGTGAGCACGGAATGTGTTGCGTCAGCAGTTCCTGTGGGTCGGCCACTCTCGTTCTCTTGGCGTGGACGGCACTCCGCCGAGACCACACCAGCCACCCAGCGAGCGAGGCCTCTCCGGTTCTCCGATTGACACGGAGGCTGGTGGTATCCTGGCCGTGCTCGGGGTGCTTGGCCAGGTTCCAGCACCTTTCCCATCTTTGTGTATGACTTCGCTTGGACCCACTCCTCCCTTCTACACTTTCCCAGCAAGCTGCTGTCTTCCACTGCCTGAGACTTGAGCTGATCGTGGCCTAAGCAGGGGGGGGGGGGCACAGACCTCACCCTTCACCAACAGGGCCAGTATGTGCCTGCCTCTGGTGACAACATGCCTGAATTTGTTATCCCCCTCCTCCCTGCTCCTGCACAGTCTCCCTCTCAGCCTGGGAGCCCTACAGGTTTGAACATCTCTCTGGGGGGTATTCCGCATAATCCTCACCTCAGGACCATCGGAATGTTCAGAGAAATGCAATAAAGTCAACTACAAAGAGGGGCTGATCACATGCACCTGGGAGAAGGGAGATCCCCACCCCGCCCCCAGCGGCCCCTCTCCTGGTCCCCACCCCGCCCCCAGCCTCCCCTTTCCTTATTTCAAAGCACCTAGTGCTGCCCGGGACCCCTGCCAGTGCTCTGCTGTAACTACAGGCTGTCCCTCTAATCAAGTACTAAGGAGCCACCAGCCTGGAAGGTATTTTAACACTTTCTTTTCTCTGCCTTCCCTTTAATAAGGCAACTTCCCTTTTGTCCATGGGAATTCGCATCAGATGGTAAGGCTAGACGGAGAACAGAACCCCAAGACTGACTTTGTTCACAAGTCAAGACAAGGCAGGATCTTAACAAATAAAGACTCCTGCCATCTTCAAAGAAATGAGTGTGGGGTGTGTGTGTGTGTGTGTGTGTGTGTGTGTGTGTGTGTGTGAGAGAGAGAGAGAGAGAGAGATAGAGAGAGAGAGTGTGTGTGTGTGTGTGTGTGTGTGTGTGTGTTTGTGCGCGCGCACACACACGCACGCACACGCACATGCGTGTGCGTATCCAGCAAGCCGTGGTCAGAGGACAACTTTCCAGAGCTGGTTCTTGCCTTCCACTCTGGTTAGTGGCAGGTCTCTCTTGTTCCAGCTTTGCCCGTATACTCCTGGCTGCTGACCAGCAAACTTGTAGACAATTTTCCCGCCTCCACTTCCCATCTCGGGATAGCAATGCTAAGGTTACATAAGTGCACCACAACGCCCAGTTCTTCATATAATTTCCAGGAAACTGAACTCAGATCATCAGTCTGGAGTAAAAGTTGTCCTCTGCCTGGGTGTGGTGGCACACACCTTTGATCCCAGCGCTGGGGAGGCAGGGGCGGGGCAGGTGGATCTCTATAGGTGCCAGGCTAGCCTGGTCTCCATAGTGAGTTCCAGGTCAGCCAGGTATCCTCTGGCCTACATGCATCATTGCACGTCACATACACATCATGTGTGCGCAAATACCAACAACAAGAATAATATTCTCAAAGATATTGACGACACTAAGAGTTTAAGGTGAAGAACTCAAAGAAACCTTCAGCATCCCAGTGTTCGAAACCTACCTCTTGATTTTGCTTATCTCAGTTAAGTTTTACTTAAAATGCATAGCCTAAGAATTTCATGTCTTTTGTTAAGGGTTTTTAGAAAAATTCTTATCCTGACATACAGTTTCCAGTGTTGAAACAAAATGGAAAACATGATCCTTGTATTTATACAAAACCCTGCTTAAAGTTTGGCAGTTCTTCAGAAAGTTAAACACTGAATTACCATACGATCCAGCAATTCCACTCCTAGCTATAGACCCAAAATTATTGAAAACATATGGCCCCCCAAAAAACTTGTACATGAATGTTCAAAATTACCCAGTGGAAACCGTCCATCAACTAACGCATAGCCTAACCACACGGAGCATCATTTGGCCACAGAAAGGATGAAGTAACAGGATGTGGCAGTACCTGCCTTGGGAGGGCTAAGGCAGAAAAGTCACAAATGCCAGGACAACTCGAGCTACATGGTTCAGAGACATCAGAAAGAATCTGGGCTCAGTGGCGCACACCTGTGATCCCAGTTCTCTGGGAGGCAGAGGCAGGCGGATCTCTGTGAGTTTGAGGCCAGCCTGGTCTAAAGAGTAAGTCCAGTACAGCCAAGGCTACAAAGAGAAATGCTTGTCTTGAAAAAACAAAACAAACAAACAAACAAACCCAAAAGCCAAACCAAACAAACAAAAACATCAGGAAAAAGTACATTTTACAACACAGATGGATTACAAGCCCCGTGTTATGTAACTGACAGGCTTCATCACAGAGAGATGAAAACTGGTTTAGAAGAGGAGGGTTGCTTGTTAGATTTAAACTGCCAGTGTAAAAACAACCTGAAATTAGACAGGGCTGCTGGCTGCCCAGCTTCATAGTAAACTTAGAACCAGTGACTGGAACATTTTAAGATTGTAGCACTTGTGATATGTGAATTATATCTCAATTTGAGAAACAGTTTTAATACATTAAAACCCTTCTAAGGAACTAAAGAAGGAAGGCCAAGTAAGATGGCTCAGAGGGCGCTATCACTGCCTCTGACCCTGAAGGCCTGAGTTTGATCTCAGGTCCCGGCCACATGGTGGAAAGAGAAAAAAAAGAGTCACAAAAAAGGTGTTCTCTCTCTCTCTCATATACAGAAACAAACACACACAAAAAAACATAATAAAAAATCTTTAATGGAAGTGGGCTAAAGAGATGACTTAGTGGTTAAGAGCACTGGCTGCTTTTCCAAAGGTCCTGGGTTTGATTCCCAGCACCCACATGGTGTCTCAAAGCCACCTGTAACTCTAGTTCCAGGGGATCCAAAGCCTTCTTCTGGTGTCTGCAGGCATCAGGCATGCATGCGGTGCAAAGATATACATGTAGGCAAACATTTACACATATAAGATGATGATGATAACAATAATAATGATGACCAAGGTCCAGAGAAATAGCTCAGCAGGTCAGAGTTTGCTGAAAAGACATCAACCTGGGTTTGGTCCTGGGATTCATATGGGAGAAGCAGAGAACAGGCTCCCTATACTGTCTCTGACATCCGCGCATATGTGCAGTTGGCATAGAGACAGACAGACTGACACACAGACAGAATTGTTTTTGAGACAGGGTATAACTATATAGCCCTGGCTGGCCTGGAACTTCCAATGTAGACCAAGCTATTCTCGAACCCATAGATATCGCTTTGCCTCTGCCGCATGAGTGCTGGGATAAGAGCGTACGGCAAACAGCAAGCAAATAAAAGTAACTTTTCATGGCCGAACCACCTGTCCAAAACAACATGCAATTTAAAAAAAAAAATTTTTTTTTAAGAATAAGTGAGGGAAGGCTGGAGTGATGGCTTGGTGGTTAAGACACTGACTGCTCTCCCAAAGGACCGGGGTTCAATTCCCAGCACTCACATGGCAGCTCACAACTGTCTGTAACTCCAGTTCCAGGGATTCTGATACCTCACACTAATGCACATAAAATAAAATAATCTTTCTTTAACGAAAATTCTTGAAGAAGGAGGAGAAGAAGATGAAGAAGAGGAAGAGGAAGAGGAAGAAGAAGTAGCAGTAAGGAACTCCTTCTCCATTTCTCTCTTCCTTCCTCCTACCACCCAGCTTCCTTTCCTCTCCAACAGACCTACCAAATGGTAACCTGGCCTTCATGGGGTGTCTTTCATGTTATGCTGAGGCTTGTCCCTGGCTAGTCTTCACTCAACAAATGCTTATTATGAGGCAAGGGAGGCCAGGGCTGTGGAGAAAACATGAAAGCAATGCTATAACTATAGAATGGAATAGCTAATCCTCACACATCTGACAGCATTCTCCAGAATGGAAGAGCTCCCTGGAGGCAAGAATGCACTCAGGAAACAGATTTTTTTTTCTAAGTGCAACAGCTATCTCCCCTCTCCCCATAAAGGAGGGTTTCGCCTATTTCTCTTTATAATACATTAAAACTGTGTTTTCAAAACTTTGAAGGGGCGTTATTGTTTCAAGTATTTCTGTCTCTAGAAATATATTCACAATGATTCCGGAACTTTAGGAATTCCAATTTTCTTCAGCTCTTGCCTCTAAAGCTTATCTATGAGTGTGTCTGGGCCCTCCCTCAGACCAGCCTGTCACTGCACTCACTGAATAACACCGGATACTATTCTTTCTTTCTTCCTGCTACTAGAAACTACATGAGGGTTAGCAGGATGCGTGACTAAATTCAGTGATCCGGGCTTCTCCATCCACCTGGGCCAACCTGTACATGCCTTTTGTTTGGGCCTCACACTAATCAGAACACATAAAACCAAACATTTCTCCAGTGCCTGGTGACTCAAGGTTCATTCTAAACCAGCGTGTGGTCACAGAAGCGAGAACCAAGAATAGCCACAGCTACAAAGAGCTCTGAGGAAGGCTTACCTGTGTGCCATTACACTGCGCTACCTAACATTCCACACAGTCCATTTCCGCTGCACCAGATCCCATCCTGGAGCACAGGTACTAATCATTATCCTTAAAAAAATGATGATTTTAACTTCTGAAGGCTCGATTCCCTTTTTCATTGTTTGTTGTTTGCTTCTCTTCTGTTTGTCTTTTATTGTTATAGTTCTTTTTGTTTTTGTTTTTCTGGGACAGAGTCTTACTATATAGCCACTGCAGGCCTGAAACTCCGTACATTGACCAGACTTGCCTGGAATCTGTCCACCTCAGCCTCTCAGTGCTGGGCTCAAAGGCGTGTCCCATGTGCTCTTTTAGATGGCAGTCTTGTGTAAGGCTCCGAGCACTTCAGTGAAGAGTGAAGACCTTGTAAAGCCGAGGGCCTCCAGGCTAGGGGACCAGCTAGGGCTGCAACTCAGGAAGGCCAACCAAATTCATAATTGGCCCCTGCTTCAAGCTGCTCTCAAGAAGCCATCAAGAAACAGCTATGGCCAAGCGTTATAGACAGTGGGCTAGGTAGCAATTCAAGTGGGAAATATGTACCTCACCCAACAAAGCCGGGCTTTCCAGGTTAGCCACAGGCACAGCGTCCTCGACATGCACAGATTCTATGTGCAGAACAGACATTAAGTGATGGATGGCTAAACTAGCTCAACAGCCTAGGTTAGGGGCACAAAGCCCGTGGGCTGGGTCCCCAGAACTACATAATTGTATAATCTGTAATTCTAGCACTGAGGAGGTGGGGTCAGGAGCATCAGGAGTTCAAGGTCATCCTCATCTACAGAGTGTGTTTGAGGCAAACCTGGGCTACATGAGATACTCTCGAAAGCAAACTTTTTGGTGACAGGGGGTGGAGGGGGAAGCTTTTGAGTAGGGAATAGGTCTGACAGCATGCTTCTAGAAATAAAACCAGCGTGGTTCACAATAGTGGAAAAAAAAAAAATCGCAACAGCTCCATGTCCCCTAACAAATGAGTGGACGAACAAAATGTGACGCAATGAATATGATATACATTGGAATATCACTCAGCCTTGAGATGTAGGAAATTCTGCCTCATGCTCTAGTTTGGTGAACCCTGAAAACGCTGCGTTAAGTGGCAGCAAAGGACAAACACTGTATGCTACTTGCAGGAGATCACCAGAATAGGCAAATCCACAGGGACAAAAGTAGACATCGGGGCTTAGGAGTAAGTGTGGGTGGAACATTCTCTACTAGGCGGACGGCTTCTGTTTGAGATAAGGTAGTGTAGAAAGAGTCATGATGTCACAACATGGCGACTGAATTGTACACTTAAGGATAACTAAGAGGTGCTTTTAATGCCAAGACTCTGGAGGCAGGTGGATTTCTGTGAGTTCCAGGCCAGCCTGGTCTACAACAGCAAATTCCAGGCCAGTCAGGGCTACATAGTGAGTGCATGGCTCAAAAAAAAAAAAAAAGAAGAAGAAGAAAAAGAAGAGGAGGAGGAGGAAGAGGAAGAGGAGGAGGAGGAAGAGGAGGAGGAAGAGGAGGAGGAAAAGGAGGAGGAAGAGGAGGAGGAGGAGGAAGAGGAGGAGGAGGAGGAAGAGGAGGAGGAGGAGGAGAAGAAGAAGAAGAAGGCTTAAATGCGGGCTGGAGAGATGGCTCAGTGGCTGACATCTGGTAGCACCCCTGCAGAGAAACTAAAAGAGGACCTGAGTCCAGTTCCCAGCACATTAGGCAGCCTCCAACCTCCTAGAAATCCATCTCCAGGGGATCCATCCCGTGCCTCTGAGGTGCTTGCATGCCCATGCTTAGATACACACACATTATTAAAAACAATAAAAAGAACTATTTTTAAAATACATAAATGGAAAATTGTATAATATATATCATAATTCTATTATACACACACACACACACACACACACACACACACACACACACCTACTGCTACTATATTGAGTTTTTATCATTGTTTTGGGTTGAGGTTCGTTTGTTCATTCTGCCTGTTGCAGAACTGACGGTGGAACCCCAGGGTACGCCTCATGCATGAAGGCACGGTACTCCACTACAATCCTTAAAAACACATATATCCAAGGCCTTCCACCTGGCCTCATCTCCAGCAGCCTCGCACTGTGCTTCCTGGAGTGAGCCTTTCATCCCTTTCCCATCTCTAGGTTCTGAGCCCAATCAAGCCCATTTTCCACGTTAGCACCTCCCTCTCACCCACCCACTGGAGCCCACAGCACCCAACCCATCCCGAGACAGACTCACCTGGCCGTAGGCTCACTGCAATCTCCTGAGGCGTCATCTGGATGACGTCAGAGCCTGTGGCACTGGAGCCCTTGCTGCTGAGGGGTAGGCTCCGAAGGACACGGGTGCTGCTGGCCGGACTCTCGATCTCGCCTTCACAGCCATTCTGGATGAGGTTTGCCATCAAGTCACACCGGGAAGTGATGGACCGAGGGCTGCCAAGGTACTGGGTAGAGAAAGAGAGGCAAAAGCAGGCAGCCATCAGGGTGGAGCTTGAAACTCTGTGCTCCATTTTTTGGAGAGAGGGATAATCCTAATCCAAAAGCCTCATGAGGACTAAGAAGACTGACTAAAGCTCTGGCCACCCAGGCTCGTCGTGAACTAACATAAGCGTAGAAAAACAACTGCTTTCACTGTCAATTTCAGTGATTAAAATATTCACCGTAAGAAGAAACTGGCTAGGTTATAACTTGGTGTAAATAATGCTTGCCTAGCATGTCCAAGACCTGGCTTAGACCCCAGTGTTCTTCAGAGAAAGAGGGAAAGGAGAGAGGAAAACAGAAAAGGGACATGGCCACTCACAAGAGCAACATGGGACCATATGTGCAAATAGAGAACGTCAGCAGTGTGCTCCTAGAAGTCTGGTTTGGTTTGCTTGTTTGGTTGGTTGGTTTTTCAAAACAGGATTCCTCTGTGTAGCCCTTGCTGTAGTGTGCAGCCAGTCCCACTAGCCTGCCTTTCAATTTCTTATGTCATCACCTGCCATCACCACCTATGCCAGATAAAAGGTCCCCATCCGCCACCCAGAGCTCTTTCTCTCAGTTTCTCTGTCTCTTTCTCTCTGTTCTCCCTCAGTCCCCACGTTTTCTCTCTGTCCTTCTCTGCCCTCGTGGCTCTGTCTCCATCTGTCTGTCTGCCTGTCTACATGTCCAATCATCTGCCCCCTAACTCCTCTCCCCTCCCCTCACAAATAAATTCCCTTATATCAGGTATGTTTCAGTGACATAATCATTATTATGATATTCGTCCTAGAATTTGCTATGCAGACCAGGCTGACCTCAAACCCAGGGATCAGCCTGCTTCTGCCTCCCCAGTGCTGGGATGAAATGTATGTGCCACCACCACCATCTTAGGATAGAAGCAGAAGGCTTCTATCCTAAGAAAACACTCAAGAGTGGAGATGGCTCAGAGATTGGCTGCTTTTCCAGGAGACCAAGGTTCAATTCCCAGCAACCATGGGGTGGCTCAAAACTCCAGTTCCAGAAGACCCAACAACTTCACACAGATATACCTGCAGGCCAAACACCAATGCATATAAAATTTTACAAAAGAAAGAAAATACTCAAAAGAAGGGGGTCTATAAGAGATACATGCCGAATTCTCTGACAATATAATCTTACAATCTGGTAAACCTGAACCATAAGAAAAATACAGCATTTCACTCACTCCAAGGGTTATCTAGAACAAACAGGAAGAGGAAGCAAAAATCCAAGGCATTTTACACTATGAGGGCAAAGAACTGGGGTGTAGCTTGGCAACTGCCTGGCACGTACATGATCCCTCTGCCCTGGGTTAGGGTAGGAGGGGCGGGAAGCAAGAGTGGGAGGAATTAGCAGGGCAGAAAATACAATCTTCTCTGCATCAGGACCAAATGAGAATAGAAATGCTTTCCTTGTCCTCTGTACTGACGTTTTTTTTTACAGGAAAGAAATGCTGACAAGAGAGTTTTCGTGACACACCCCACACTCAGGAGACAGGATCCAAAGACCAGGAGTTCAAGACCAGCCTCAACTACTAATCAAGTTTGAAGCCAACTTGGGCTACATGAGACTCTCTCTCTAAAAACCATAAAGAAAAAAAGGAAGAGGGAAGGGGCGAGAGGGGCTGAGAAAGATTGAGATTGGGGAATCTGGTTCCTAAATTGGATTTGGGAGAAAGCTACACATGAGCAAACCTAATACGGGACCATCAAGAATTTGAGGCCTTAATTTTAAAATGAGAAATCGATTTTGCTAGAAACCATGTTACCTGTGTAGGTGATTTTTGAGAAAGGGGTCTAGCTTTTAAATTGTGGTTGTTGTTGTTGTGTGTGTGTGTGTGTGTGTGTGTGTGTGTTTGTTTGCAGGTATGAGTGTGTAGCACAGACTGCTTTCAAATCTACTGTGTAGCCTAAGATGACATTTAATTTCTGATCCTTCCGTTGCCATCTCCCAAGTGCCGGGACTGACTTGATTTACAGGGTGTAAGGGATGGAATCCAGGGCTTCGTGCTAAAGCAAGCGCTCCAACAGGAAAGGCTATTTAACAGCAGAGCAAGCAAGCCCAGGCTGTTCTCCCTCCTGCAGCTGGGTGGATACTGACACCAGGCCACATAATCCCTGGCTGGCTGGCCAGCAGTAAGGATGCAAAGCTTCCGATGAGTCAGTATCCCTAGGCTGCTGTGCTAGACACCAGACTATTGGCAGAAACCTAAAAATCGGATGGGGAACACCCTCCATCAAGGGTGTGGCCGTTCTAGGGCCAATCAATGACTTTTAGAATCTCCGAAAAAAAACATTAAGCGTAAAAGGTCAAGAAGAGCCTTGGGCATCGTAGCCCATGTCTATAATCCCAGCACTTAGGTGCAAGGGCAGGTGGATCTCTGCGTTCAAGGCCAGCCTGGGCTACATGGTAAGACCTTGTCTAGGGGAAAAAAAAAAGTCAAGAAGATTTTAAAATTTCTTGTTCTTGTTTTAGCCCAAATTGACCTCAAATTTGTGGCAATCCTCCTGCCTCCTCTTCTTTACTGCTAAGATTATAGGCATGACCCATCACACACAGCACGCACGTAGTATTTTAAAGAAGTAAAGCCAAATGCACTCTGCCAGCTCCATATGGTTATTTTTATTTCTGCTTTTCTGGGGATTTTATACATAACTGCTGTTTTAGTTTTTTTGGGTGTTTTGGTGTGTTTTTTTGTTTGTTTGTTTGTTTTTAATAAAGGACAAGTTTATTTGGGAACTGAGGCAGCAGCCTCAGAGGACGGAGGCCAGAGGAAGTCACCAGGGTTATTTTGTTTTGTTTATTAATGTTTTGTGTTTAACCCCTTAGGGGTCGTCACTGTAAAACACCTTGGTGACTACACTCCATAAACACAGAAGAATGTGTACGTATATAATTTGGGGCCTAGAGTTCAAAACTGAGGCTTCCAAACTGGGCTCCAGGTAGTCACACCCTGGCCCACAGGTGGTCGCTCCTGGTCTTGATAGACCTGCTATGAGGAGAAAAACAGGACAGAGGGAATGGGGAGTTCACCCCTAAGGCTCCACAGTGCCACCCTGCTGTCCTGTAGGTCTGTGCCAGAAGCCTAAAGAGCTGCCTAGCGCTTGAAGGGCTCATTGCTCCTCGTTCACTGCTCCCTTAACTCAGGAGTTCCTGAACCCCTCCCTGGTCCAACTATAAACAGCTAGCTGCTGGACAGTTGTGTGAAGCACGCCTGTCTGGACCAGTTCGTCGTGAACCCCAACCACCACCAGGTATGGTCATCTCCGCCAAATCCTTCCCACAGGTCTGGACCACCTTACACTCTGCCAAAGACCAGGTCAGAGCCAGCCTGTCTGCTCTCACACATCCTCTTCTGAGGAAGACCTCTGAGCAGCCTCCTTACCGACAGCAATGAACTCGGACTGCTGCTCAGACCAAATTGAGATCTCTTCGCACCATCCATCTCACCTGTGTGGGGGACTGCTTCCCTTTCCTTTTGGGACAGGCCCAGTGGTATCACTGATGTGTTCAGTGGTCTTTGAGATAAGTCTACCTACCTATGTGTCAAATCTTGTCATGGTCTCAGAAGGACTCTTGTGCCACAGATCCATCAGCTGGGGCAATTCTAGGCACAGCAAGTGTACAGATGAGAGGCAGGTACTGAAGCAGTGGAAGAGCCTCAAGGGGAAAAAAATGGACCAGCTTTCTGACATGGTCCAAATATAGCCTCAGCTGATTTCTTCCTTGTGGCCCAATGAAGGGTCAGAGGAAGTTAAAACCCAGCAGAGCTTAACCCTTAACGAAGCCTAAGATCTCTGCTATCTTGAGCTCCTTCCTAGTTTTTTGTTTGTTTGTTTAGTTCTGAAAAAGGACAAATGGATATTTAAAGAGAGGAAACCAAAGCCACAGAGACCAGAGGCTGGTGTGATCTTTATGGCCTTCCAGGTGTAAAATCATTATATAAGTAAAGAAAATATCTCAATAGCTAGATCTCTGTGAATGAAGATGCATTATAAAACCTTCTAAATGTTATTTTGGTTACGTTTATGGGGCTTGCAGTACACACATGTAAGAACAGGTGCCAACAGAGTTTGAGACTCCTGAAACTGGACTTTATAGGAACTTGGGGGCAGCCCAATGTTGGTGGGAATGGAACTCCGACACTCTGCAAGAGTGCTTAATAAGGTTCATAACCTCTGAGCCTTCTCTTGAAAGCTATTATAAACCTTCACAGAAGAGACTCATGATGGAGAAAGTCCTCTTCACAGTCTGACATCTCAGGAGCTTCAGATCCCAGAGACCTCACATCCAGCCCTGCCAGGTGTTGGACATTCCAAATGTCCAGCTGTCCTGTTCCAAAGTGAATGAATCACCCGGTGCCCGTCCCTCCTCGAAAGACCCGAGATCCAAACATCTCAATTCACCCAAGAACTTTGAGTTCATCTCGTCCCCTGACATCTGGGCCCAGGTTCAGCGCTCTTCGTGCCCAAAGCCACTGCTGAATCCTGCAGCAGGAAACTGATGAAGCTCAAGAGTCTGAGAAGTTCTGCAGCCCCACATGCAAAGATCCTCCTGCCACCCATCAAATTTGAAGGACACGAACTCTTTCTTTCCAGTTTGTTTGTTTGATCATTTTCTTTTGTTTTTTTGAGACACGGTTTCTCTGTGTAGCCCTGGCTGTCCTGGAACTCACTTTGTAGACCAGGCTGGCCTCAAATTCATAGAGATCCTCCTGTCTCTGCCTCCCAAGTGCTGGGATTAAAGGTGTGCACCACCACCCAAAGGACAAAAGGTACAGAGAGGCACAGACCACTAAGGAATTAGGAAAGGACTCACCACAACTCAGAAAAAGAGAAAACTGATTCAGTGAGAGCTTCCAGTGGCGATGGCATGGCTGCTGCAGCTGCTCACTGTTCTAGTATGGGAACAAACACCTGCCAAGGACTCCACAGGGAATCACCCTGATCAAAGTCCCCTAAGGACT